AAAAAAAAACTAAACTTACAAAAATTGAACCAAAAAAAGTATATAAATATAGTGAATTAAAAGGGCAAAATATTACCTTCAATTGTAACTCAAAATAAGATAAAAGTAAGCTGTATGATATGTATGTAAAATGCACTAAGTAAAACAATAATGCTCTGTTTGGCAACTTGAATTTGAGAGTGTGTATTTGAATTTGGAGTGCTCAAATTCAATTTCACTGTTTGTTTTTACTTAAATAAAATGTAATTGAATTTAGATGAAATACATGTATTTTAACCAAATAATTGTCATGAGTAAATTACGTGTATTTCAATTTCACCCTAAAACCCTCAAATTTCAATTTTGAATTGAATTTGGTCTGCACTCTCTTCTCACCGACGGCGCCCTGACTCTGCCGCTCCCGCTGCTCCCGCTGCTCTCGCTGCAACTCTATTTTGTGGATAGTGAGGGTTGTAGTAGAAGGGTTAGGAAAATCGACCCACCACAGCATTCAGAAGTTTATAATCCGGTGGGTTCTTGTAACGGGCTGTTATGCTTATCCTTTCCCTTAATCGGTGGTTCATCAGAGTCTCACAGTCTGCTAATTTACAATCCTTTTGTTGGAGACGCTGTGAGAGTCCCACCAGCGAACCAATTTCTAAATCAACTTGAAGTTTTTGGATTTGGGTTTCATCCGAGGACAGGACAATTCAAAGTGGTCAGGATTGTGTGGCACGAGAAGATCATGAAGGTAGTAGACCCGGCGCTAGATGTGGAAGAAGTGGATGAAGAATTCGCCACCGTTTATGAATCAATGGTTCAGGTGTGTACCGTAGGAACAACAGAGTGGAGAAACAAAGGAGCTCCGCCTCCACAATTGGCGAATGAAATCGGACCACCTGAAGCTTTAGTTGAAGGATCTCTCCATTGGCTGACTGTTGTTGGGATAGGAGGAATCGATCCTATCTTCGGTATTATCTCCTTCGAGCTTGCAAATGAGGTGTTCGAAGAAATTCCGCACCCACCTTGTCAAAGACTTGTGTCACGTGGCTACAATCTTTCCGTGCTCAATGGGTGTCTATCGGCAGATGGGTTAGTTGATGCTGTGCATTTTGATATCTGGGTGATGAAGCAATATCGTTTTAAGGAATCACGTGGCTACCTAGATTGGCTTGCATATTGATAGGTTTAAGTGGAATGAGCTTAAACCTACTGATTAAAATATCAATATTTATTTATAGTTAATTATGTTTTTAAGTTTTGCATGGCATTTATGCATCAGAACGTCAATTTGGTTCTTGCTGCTAGTCTTTTGTTAGTGATTTCAATTTGTGAATATGCTGCTATTTCTTTTGAGTCACCTATTTTATTGCATCCTAACTTTGTTCTTTCTAATGTATTTAAGTTACTTACCACTTCAATTTGAATATCTTTACCTCTTCGATTTGAATAACTTTTGCTATGGTTTTAAATATTGCATTGTTCTCCTCAGCACCTAAAAATCCATTCTTTAGTTGATCTTTTCAGTTGATAGCTTTCATTGTTTTAAATACATGAATAGTATGTTAGTGGAGGTCATTGTTTCTTTTTTTTTTTTCTTATCTAATTTGTTTATCTTGAGATAATTTAAATAATATTTTGAAAGATTAAAATTGTTAATTTTGATTTTATTAAATTTAAATAATAATTAGAAGAAGATTTAATTTAATAGAGAAATTCAATTTTAAATACATAGTATTTTAAAATATCCAAACAATGTATTTAAAAATACATATATTTGAAATTTATTTTTTTTAATTCAATCCAAATAATGTATTTCAAAATACATGTATTTTAAATACATGTATTTCAATTACACTCATCAAATTCAAATTTAAGTTCCCAAACACAACCTAAAAGATTTGTACTGATATTGATGCCGCGGGTACATATACCATGATCAAATGATTACTCATCACTCATCCATAGCGACTATGGACTCTCTTCTTTCAATTCCATCACCAGCAACTGCTGCGGTTGCTGTCTTAGCTCTTTCACTCATCCTGTTCTTGTGGATATCAAAATTTTTGGGAAGGAGTAAAAACAAAGAAGCACCGGAAGCAAGCGGCACAAGGCCTTTGTTTGGCCACCTTCACCTCCTAGGAGGGCCAAAACCACCGCACATCACTCTAGGCGACTTGGCCGAGAAGCACGGACCGATCTTCACCATCCGGTTAGGCGTGTGCCGAGCGTTGGTAGTTAGCAATTGGGAGATTGCCAGGGAGTGTTTCACAACTAATGATAAAGCCTTCATCAACCGCCCAAAATACCTGGTGGCCGAGATCTTGGGCTACAACTACGCCATGTTTAGCTTTAGCTCTCACCTTCCCTACTGGCGCCAGATCCGCAAGATTGCCATGCTCGAGGTCCTCTCCAACTACCGCCTTGAGTTGCTCAAGCACGTTCGAGAATCAGAGATTAGAACTTCAATTAAAGAATTACACGCGCTATTGGTGGGGAAGGACAGAGGGTTGGTGGAGATGAAGAGATGGTTTTCGAGCGTAACCTTAAACATTGTTTTCAAGATGGTCATGGGAAAGCGATACGCTGAGGAAGAATCACGGAACCAGACCGATGAAAACGAACGGAAGAGGAAAGCCTTGAGGGATTTCTTTGAATTGGCCGGAGCTTTTGCCATGGCAGACGTTCTCCCTTTCTTGAGGTGGTTGGATATTGGAGGGTATGAGAAGGCGATGAAGAAGACGGCCAAGGATCTTGATGGCATCCTCCAAGAATGGTTAGACGAACATAAAAAGAAGAGAAATTCGGGCGAAAAGGCGAAAGGGGAACATGATTTCATGGACGTGATGCTGTCCGTCCTTGATGATTCGGAAGAGATTCCCAGTTATGAGGCTGATACAATCGTCAAAGCTACATGCCTGGTGAGTTTATTTATACTTTATTTACTCACAAGATTTACCATGCCAGTTCTTCCACATGTCAGTATGTAAGTATACTTTGCAGGGCCTCATCTTAGGTGGAACAGATACAAACACTGTCACTTTAACATGGGCTCTCTCCCTGCTACTCAACAACAGGGATGTCCTAAAGAAAGCCCAAGAGGAATTGGACACTAGGGTGGGTCGGGAAAGGCGAGTTCAAGAATCGGATCTCAAGGATTTGGTATACCTCCAAGCAATTCTCAAGGAAACATTGCGTTTATACCCTGCTGCTACACTCTCGGTGCCACATGAGTCCGCAGAGGACTGCACCACTGGCGGTTACCATGTTCCGGCAGGCACTCGCCTTATAGTGAATCTTTACAAGCTTCACCGGGATCCGAATGTGTGGCCAAACCCATATGAGTTTAAGCCAGAAAGATTTCGCACCACACACAAGCATGTTGATGTTAGGGGCCAGAATTTCGAACTTATACCATTTGGTAGCGGAAGAAGGGTGTGCCCTGGAATTTCTTTTGCCCTGCAAGTGTTACAACTCACGCTAGCTAATTTGTTACACTCGTTTGAAATTACTACAGCATTGGATGAACCGGTTGATATGACTGAGAACGCCGGTTTGACCAATCTCAAAGCCACCCCTCTTGAAGTCCTCCTAACCCCTCGCCTTCCTGCTCATTTGTATGAATAAGTTTGCTATATATAGTCCATATAAGCATACTTGTTAATTTATGTGTACCAGAGGGGATGTGTTAGAAGTAATGATGTTGCTGTTAGTTTATAATCCCTAATGTTTGACACTTAATACAAGTTAGTCCTCCAAAGTCCTTGAGTGTCATTGTTGTTATATATGTAAAAATAGGGACTCTATCAAACATGTTGAAATGTTGAATAGAAGAATCAAGATATTCCTTTTTCATCTTTTCATTCCTTTCTTCACTGTTGTGATGGTATTAGAGCTATCCAAATCTCAAGTTCATGGTGACTTAAAAATTTTATCTTTGAATCATCATTCTCTTACAACTTCTGATCTTATCATCTAATGATTATCTGTCTCATTACCAAACAAAATACCTAATTTTTCAAAATCCTAACTGAGATAATGTTTCTTCAATCATCCTAAACTTCAACTTCATCTTTATCAAACTTTGTCACACATAAGCTCACATCTGATAATTTCTTACTATATATGGAATGGACAAACTGTTCTAATTGCAAGAGGAATATGGCGTCGTAAGTCATCTAGACAGGTCAATATTAGATTTTTGAGGTGAGAAAAAGGAGTTGAGAGAGAATTTGGAGAGTTGGAGAAGAGTAGAACTTAGAACATGACATTGAACATAAACTTGGAAGGGTGCAGACATTCATCCAACCAAGAGGAGATCGGAGAAATTGTTCTTCAATTGTCTCATATTTTCATTAGGGTGATGATTGATACGTCTTTTGGTTTAATACACCTATCAACACTTATCAGTTCAGTTATTAAATTTTATAAGTGAAATTTTTTTTACATTAAATTTAAATTTAAAAATAATATTTTTTAATAAAAATATTGTAAAGTTTGTTAAACTAAAATATGTATCAATTATTATCCTTTTCATTAACGTATCTACCCATTTAGAGCAAAAAAGTCAACATAAAAATAGCACTTTTCACCTACTTTCCATGATTTATGGTTATATGTTTCCTATAAAATATATCCTAACATTTAATCAAAAATTGTAATACATAAACTTACATATAAAAAGTACATTATTGAAGCACTATTGCATTATTGCACTCTTGTTGACTAATTTATGGCTTCCATTTGCATTTCATTTGCATTTGCATTTGATTTTCTCCCATAATGCAGCAGTTTGCTGCATCTTTCTTTCCCCATTGAAGCAGCTTTATTGCTGCACATTTTATCCCATAAATGCAGCTTTTTGCTGCACCATTTTGCTGTTTTGTTTTAGTAACATTACAACTTTAATGCCATTGCTCCAACCGTCAAAGCCAAGGCCTCTTGAGTTTGTTAAGTCAAAGGATGACAAAGGCCAGCTTGCTTAAAGCCTAAAACAAAGGGTTTGTTGCGAGACATTTTTGAGGAAGCCTTACACAAAAAGGGCTTGGCTTTGACTCAAAAAATAAAATTTTAGATATAAAATCAATGAGAAAATATTTAGATAAGAATATGAATTTTGTTATTTTTTTTCTATTTAAATATATGAAATTTTAAAGTTTTTAAATTAAACTATTAACTTTTACTTTTTTCTATTTAAAAATATGAATTTTGCCATATTTTAACAAAGATTGCTATTTTGTCACACCATCATAGCCATCCTTAAATAGAAATATAACAAAATTTGTATGTTAGTTATAAAAAAAAATGCAAAGTTCTTATTTTTATTTTAAAATTTTGAAAATTTATAGTATAATTTAGAAACACAAATGTTTGTATCCTTAAATTAAAAAAAAAAAAACAAAAACAAAAACAAAATTTCGTTATCTTTTTTTTGCACCTTTTATGCAATAAAAAAAAATGTCCGATTATATGCATTTGTAATCAGTTATAATGCTTCAAAGGCAAAATATATAATCAACTAAATAAGAAAAGTAATGGATTACACATTTGAAAGAAAACTGTTCAAGATTTGTGTGCCATTAAAGCTCATTTTCTTGACTAATGCAAAAGTGATTACTCTCCCGAAAATGCCTTCTGAAAGGACGCAACCAAACCGGCCAAAGCTTTTGCATTTTTTTTTTTTTCATACGGCTGTGGAAACAAACAGTTCTGATCAGTGATCACCTTGCAAGTGATGAGGTGACAGAAGATTAACGGAGCCCAAACGGGAAATTGAAACTCCTCTGGAAGGTTGAATATCCCATGTGCCATTAAAGCATATGTACCCTTCTTTATATGCTTAAAAAACATTATATGCCTGAAATTATTGAGATAGTTTGTGAGGAATATATGTGGTTCTTCAATACTGAGTTGTTGATTACACAGGTTAGAGTGAGGGTTAAGGTACCATCGGCGACAACTGAGGAGATGTGGCTGCTGATGCCAAGAAGGGACGGAGCCAGCTGGTCATACTAGACAAGTAATTAAACATAAGAAAAAAGTATAATTTCTATTTCTAAGCTATTAGTTTACTCCCTTCAGATAAAAATGTTTCTAATCGTATTATGTTTGTTATTCGCTTCAAGGCTGCCTTATTTGTTAATTTTACTCAGAAATCAGAATAGACTGATGTCAAATGCCTATATAATACAAATGAATCTGCTGTACATCTAGACTAGTTTTAATCTATTTTGTAATCCAGGTTACATGCACTCAGCTTTAAGTAGCCACATGTATTTATCTTAGGTACGTTAATTGGATGTCTTGTAACTATGTAATTGGTTTATGCTTTAGGTTAAATGATTCAAGAGTCAAGGCAGGTACTTAATAGCTATTCAAGAATCACTCAAGAAGGATCAGTGTCAAGTCCTGATGCTATGACATCTCTTTAATTTCCTCGTCGATCAACAAAATCCTCTTTTTGAAAGGCTGAACTGGGAAAATTAAACTCAAGTAGATAACTTCAATAACCCTCCAACTGATTTGGACTCATAAAACTGTCTACAAACCAAAATTATACCACTGTCCACAAACCAAAAGCCATCTTTACCAAGGAATTGAAAGAATGTATTTTGGATTCCCCAAGATCACATTCTCGAAGAAAAGCCCCTTGGAAACAGAAGCTGCGGAAGTACATTTGGAAATAGTCTACTAGATAAGTTCATCTACTATGATGAAGAGACAGGAGCTAGCAGACTCAAGCCCAATCAAAGCCATAAAAAATATTGCATTGTTGGCTCAAGGAACAGGGATGCAGTAACTTTAGGTAGAACTTCCTCAAATCCTCCTCCTTTGTGCTCATTGTGTCAACACACGGCATCTGTGTTTTTGGAAAATCTCCAAGACAATTTTCTTATGAGTGGTTAGTGAAAGGCACAGATGGCTTTTCAAATATGAATTAATGTTTTGACATTTTTCAGAAGCATTAGCATTTAAACATAATTATATTGATCAAAGTGGATGGAAGCATCTTTTGACATGTTCCCCATTTTTTTGGCCATTCAACTTTTGACATTTTTCAGCTCAGGGCAAAGTGGATGGAAGCAAAAGTTTGTTTTCCATGACTAGTGTTTTAATCCTTCCTGCTGCGCTAAAGAGTTGTTGATCAAGGGCCGGCATTGCTTATTTTTCTCTGTGGGCGGCTGCTGCAATCTCTGGTTTTGATCATTTTGATGCGCTCTTGTTGAGTGTTTGACCAGGACCTTGTTGTATTTTCTGGGTTGTGTTATTTTTCGGGCAGAAAATGTGCTCTGGTTGACCGGGGGTTGATCTGTAAGTGAGACCTGCAAAATAGATCTGTGGCAGATACTCCAGGTTCAATTCAGCAATATTCTATACTTAAGCTCTTTAGAGAAAGGAGCATAACAATAATAATAGAGAGAAAAATGTCAAAGAGAGAGTTTTTTACCTTTGTGGTGTGTGGGGATATTTATCAACAGCTTGAAAGTGGCTTACACATGTTGCATTTCTATTAAGTCTTTTGAATCCATTTAGGTGTGCGTATAAACTTCATAGTCATCTCTGTATGTGTTCCTTTGTATTTGAGTTTTATGGGCCGTTATTATGTTTACGGACTAGTTAGACCACTATATCAATAGTTTTGCTGCATTGTGAGTTTTAGATACTGTAGTGCTGATTTGTTTCTCGTTGTTGTGTGCACTATTTTTTATACGAGTATGACTCATTTTTGTAAGGGTTGAAGTATCACCTACACTTCAACTAAAGAAATTTTGATTCATTGAAAAAATATATATATGAATACTTTTTCTGAAAGCTTATGAGCTAATCAGGTCTTGTGTTCATGTTGAAATGATATCTTTGGTAAACCTGTCAAAAATTGAACATTACTAACGCCTATTTGGGGCAGTCTTTTGTGTTTATATAAGTTCCAACCTTTTATGTTTCTCCGTGACATTAACTGCATTATACATTGTCTCTTGATTGTTCCACTGTTCTCTATAGCTTACTGATTTTGAACTTGATAGGTGGCATTCAAAAAGGAGTATTGGTAATGAGGAACGTGCCACTGAAACTGGAGGGCAATATCTGTTTTCCTCTATGATCACTTGCTTATCTCCTAAATGAACCATATCTGAACTAATACCATTTCCATTAAGCTGATTTTTCAAAAATAAGCATTGTTTGTATAAATTCACATATCTGAACAATGAAGTCTTAATTCAGTTTCATTTCTCTTTACCTTCCGACCAAGAAGAACATGCCTTAATACAGGTATCTTGCACCAGTTTACCTGGATGGTAGGAAATTAACACCTGATGACCTGGAGTGAACATATATATATATATATATATATATGCCTTTGCCCTTTGGAATTGTATTTGATAGAACTAATAACAGCTCTATGAATCAGTAACTTCCAATTATGCAGCGACAGAGTTTCTTCCCCAACTGGTTTCACTCGGTGGCTGCATACTCAGTCCAGTCTTGGCCTCCAACAAAGTCCTTAACTACTGTCTACTGTCGTAAACGAGAGGCTATGTGCCCAAGTCATGAATGCTGCCTGTTAGCAATGAGAACTTGAGAAGCCACTCTCGGAGAATTTCACACTGTACATTCCGTTAAATCATCTCCGATAAGTTTGTTGCTGCAAGTGATTTATGTTTTCATTAAAAAGGAAAATCATTTTTATTTCGTAATTCGTATCCCTTCAAATTTCACACTAGCCAAATCCCCATTCAAATATACAGCAGAAATTCATAGCATAATTTTAAAGAAAATAACACAATTTTATATTACATAAAGCCCCTTCGTAGTTCCACGTAAGCAACTCCCAACATCATAGAGATAACAAGCATCCAGCTATCTACCATCCACGCGTCACAGAAACAAATCTTTTTTATTAAAAAATTGTGCAACAACGTGACTCAGGCATCACGACAGTTTCAAAACTGGAAGACCCCGAAGTCCTCGGGATCAGAACCCTCTGCTTTGGCTGGCTCTGCTTCCGGAGGAGAAGCTCCTCCCTTGCGACCGCATCGAGTCCCCATCCAGGCCCAGCTGCTGATTCTGTAACATTCCCATCTGAAGTTCCGGTGCGTACTCCGACACGCTCCACACCTTAACCGACTTATCAAGACTCCCACTGTAAACCACCCACCTCTGATTCCGGTCCGCCTCCTGATCTTCTTCGACCGCCAAGCACTTCACCGGTCCGGTATGACCCGTCAGCACGGACAGACATGTGTGAATAGACCTGTCTCTTTTCCACACGCATATGTTCTTATCCGCTGAGCCACTGAACACCAAATTACCTGCAGTCGCGAGGCAGAGGACTGCCAGCTTGTGCCCCTTGAGGACTCCACCGTGAGATAACTGTTTTTCGCGTTCCCAGAAATTCACCATCCCGTCGCTAGACCCACAGTACACAACCGTACCGGAGGTGTTAACAGCCAAGGCCGTAACTGCACATTCTTGCTTCAAAAGAGCTTGCACCGGAGAATGCCTTGTTACCTTCCCTTTTGGCTCCCTTTTCCACACTTTAACAGAACCGTCAGCCGATCCGGTGAACACCAATCCCTCAGTGCTTGAAACGACAGCGTTAACAGCGTCGTCATGGGCCTTTATGGACTCCAAACACTTGGAATCAGAAATTCGCCAAACCTTAACGGTTCTGTCCCACGAAGCAGAGTACAGAATCCCTTCTTCCTCATCCAAGCTCAAGCAGGATATGGCATCGGAGTGTTTGATCCACAAAGCAGAACGTTTGCGTCTCACTTCGACATAATTGCTCGGTTTAATCGAGCTCTTGAGAATATCTTTCAGAGTGGGCAACGTTCCAGCTCGTTTATGGACGCTAGAATTCTTCGTAGAGACTTTCCAGACCCGAATTTTACCGTCCTGATGACCGGTAAAAATCTTCTCCCCTGAAATCACAATGGCTTTAACCAACCCGCTGTTCGATTTGAACCCAGAATGTTCCTTCAGATTCTTCCAGACACGTATGTTCTTGCTGTCGGAGCCGGTGTAAAGAAGATCCTTGGTGGCTGCTAAGGAGTAAATGTGACCCTCTTCGCGTACAAGTGACCCGATTAAAGCATTTGTGGGGACAGCACTTCCGCTGTCTCCGAAATTGGACCATCCAGATTTGATGAAATTAGAGGTTTGGTTCCAGGGCGACATGGTCATGGGTGAGCCCTCGCAGCTCATCCGGTTCTGATCACAAAAGGCAGGGGTCGCAGCAGACGCACTGCTGTTCCGAAGGTAAAAATCATCGTCGGCAACAACATTGGCGCCAGCGCTCAAGGAGAGATTTGGGTCGGAGTGCATCATGTTACCGAATTTGAACCGTGGGATACTCTCTGACTCTGCGAACATTATCGTTGGCTCACCTCCGTCTCTCATTCAGTCAAGAAAAATGAAGAAAAGATGATATAATGGAGAAAACAAATGGAGGGGAGAGAATGGAGGCTAAACGGAAGGCGGGGTGTCTGTAAATAGACGGAGAAGGAATGGTGGAGAGGCAATGGAGCAGTAGGATGATGACACGCGTGGCTTGGATGATGAAAGGCTTTTCTGGAGAAATGCGATTGGCCAATAATGTAGAGGTGAGTCAGTTTCATTAGTTGGGATATGGGGGCTGTCCTGAATGTATTTGGTTTGGCTGTTCTTTTCATTGCTATTTTGGGATATTTTGTTTTGAGTGTTTTATTTTATAATTTGAATTATATTAACTTATAAAATAAAAGTTGTTAGATAAAAAATAATTATTAATATTAAAAAGTTTATATTTTATTTAATAATTAATATTGTACAGTTTGATTTTGATTTAATTTAAGTAGGATAACACTTTTTTTTTGGTAGAATACTCTAATACACCCCAAAGTATAATGACAATGACAGATCTACCCAAAAACAAAAAAAGGAACAAAGTTACTTATAAAGTTTTTAATTTGGACAAATCACTCCAAATTTATCGTATAATATCATTTGACGTTAACAATTCGTTATTAGTGATATAACAAATTAACGAATTGCTGACATCAGATGACGTCACAAGTTAAATTTAAAATAATTTATTCAAGTTAAAAACTTTATAGGTGGATTTGTCCTCGTTTTTTGTTAGGGTAGATCCGTCTCTACCACGATACTTTGAGAGTGAATTTGGGTATTTTACCTTTTCTTTTTTTTCTATATTTTTTTAATGCAGTTTACTTCAATGGTAGCAAAAATCAGGAAGATATCTAGTCATGTGATGCCACCTGTGCTCTCTGTATTTTTTATGTTGGACTTGTAGGATTAATTATTAATTCAACGAAATTTCTTTCTAGAAAGATTTCCACAATTTCTTTGTCTTTGTAATTTGGTTACATAGCATATATTGTAGTCTTTTCTATAATTGATAACATATAGTTGATGACATATTATCATTACTTGTAGATATTCAATAATTAAAAGTTTAAGTTTTTATATTAAAAGTTTTAAATTTGAATCTTAAAATTAATAAAAAAAATTGAGAATGAGATGATTGTTTTATCTCTATTATATAAGTTATCATCAAATAAGAAAAAAATAATTAGAAACCCTCTCTCTTTAGTATTATTTAGCAATTCTTTGTGTTGTTCTATATTGAATCCTCAATATGGATGAAATTTACTCCACAATTATTTGATCCTTATGTTCCTTTACATGGACATTGAAGAACTAGAAAGTTGAAATGTTGCAATAAAAAAGACCAAAAAAAAAAAAAATGACATTATTGTAAGGTGAGTGCAAGCATGTTGGAGGTTCATGGATGGAAGAAACACAATAATTTACAACGATTCCATTTTTCCATTTCCGAATACAAAACTTAAACGCGTAGCCGAAAGCAGTCAATAGCCTGTCTCTAGCAATTCTAGCACATAGAAAAGTAAATTAAAAAGAAGGTTAAACCTTCTAATTTAGTCCTTAAACTATTGTATGGATTTTTAATTTGATCCTTAAACTTTAAAAATCTTTGATTTGGTCCCTAAATTATTGTACGGATCCCTGATTTGGTCTCTACTATTTACTAATTTGCCTCAAATTGGTCATTTCATACAAAAAACAGTTAACGTGTCTATTACTTAATAATAGAAAACAATAACTTAACGGCAAAAAAAATAACTTAACGACTACGTATCTTATTAACAACGAGACATGTCAACTATTTTTTGTACAGAATGTCCAATTTAGCGCAAATTGGTAAGTAGCAAGGACCAAATTGGAGATTTGTATAATAGTTTAATGACCAAATTAAAGATTTTTTTAGTTCAAGGACCCAATTTAAAGTCCATATAATAGTTTAAGGACCAAATTAAAAATTTAACTTAAAAAGAAATATGTTAAATAACCTTTTTTTTTTTTTTGAAAAGAGGTAATGGAAATATGTTAAATAACCTAAGTCAAAGTAGTTGGCAAGTTATCACGATTGAACAGTGAATTTTGCACCAAACGACGAGTAAATTAATTAAAGGGTTTTTATCACTTAATGTGAGAGGATTACTAGATTTAGACCTCAGACGCTCAGACTGCTGTTGATGCAAAATTCACAAGTTCCAGTAGTGGCTATGCCTTTCAATAGTTATATGGCAAAGAAGCATTGTGGCATTAGATGCCTGGATGATCAGTCTTCACATTAGCGTGGCTGAAGTCCGACGGCACCTACTTGCAAGTTTTTCTTTGGCCCCCCTTCTGGGGCGTTATGCCTCATCTCATAAGATGTTAATTAGTATATCTTTTAATTAACTTAACACATTTTATAACATTTTTATTAAAAAAAATTATCATTTTAAATTTAAATCAAAAATAAAAAATTATAAATTATAAATTTTAATAATTAAATCAATAAATATTGATTAATATATTAAACAATAAAATGTACTAATCATTTTCTCACCTCATAAATTAGCATCACACACCGAGACCAATCCAAGATTAAACCAAGGAGGAGAAAAATGTTTCTGCAGCCTTTCCTTTCCTCTTTTTTTTTTTTTTTTTATTTCCATTGTAGCATCCATAGAAAATTATGCTCACGACACACCAACCAGAGGACAATGAAATGATGATGAGGGTAAAAGAAAGATAATGGCTTCAGACCATTGGTGAAATAAAGGTACCTTTTCCCCTTCTCAATATTCTGTATGCTTTCACCAACTCAAAGCCGAACAGGTGTCTGTTGCCAACGGGGGAAGAGGTATGTTTGCTCAAAGCCATTATTGGTCAACATAATTGTATTGCATGTGCGTGTGGGTTGAGTATTAATAAAAGGGTCTTTGCAGTTAAAAAATATATATATATTCTGGATGTTTTAATAGATACATAAAACTTTTTGCACTGGTTTAATAAAAAAGAATACAAACTCCACTCGTATACTGACAAGTATTAAGAGAGGCCAACAGAAGTATAGGCAATTTTCTTGGTAAAGTGAAGTTAGAATCTCACATTAGTAATGAATTAGGGTTAATTGTAACTAATAAGAAAGAATAATTTATTCCCCTATGAGGGCATTTTTACAATAAAATTATGAGATTTTACTGTATTAAAGTGATAATGTTACATGACGAAACGCACCTCAATCCTTGATATTAATAGACAATAGTATCAGTCATAGACTTTTATTAGTTTGAACCATGTTATCTCTTCAAAACATATTGATCATATACTTTTTCATAGAAATTTATTAGTTTGAGCTTGTTTTTACCTTTTAAAGCAAATTTTTTTTCATAAATTTAAAAATTTATTGGTGAATAATCTTCTAAAAATTAGCTCAGTTAATATTCTCAAATTATAACCTTAATTAATTTGAGGTAAATATTATGACAAATCAAATGTTAATTTCCTTTTTGAAATAATAGTAATTTTTATACGTACTTTGACCTCACAGTTTAACAACTATAAACCGACTGATAAAGTACATATTTCAACTCGAGAATAAAGATTTCAATTTTCTCACTCTTAATTTGTATCCTTATTTAAAAAATAATAATTTTTTTGCTAATAATGTTTTCACTGGAGGGTAAGCAGCTAACCACTTCAGTTACACCTGTGGAGAGCAATCGAGTGTTAGTGTAAAAGAGAAAAAGTTTAAACTATTTGTTTTTGAGAAGGACATACATTAGACATACTCATGATAAATCGAAAGGGTACTATTTTATGTTTGGCACTATATAATTTAGTGATCATACTTTTTATGAAAATGTATTTGGAGATGAAAGTTTTAAAATTTATTTTCAGGTAGTATTTTCTTTATTTCTAAAATTTTTTTAAAGTAAAATAATAATAATAATAATTTTAATTTGTTTAATTTTTAGTAGGATCAAGATCTGGTAAAGTTGGTCTTTCCTTAAATGGCAAAAACGTAAAGAGCCAATGACAGAGAGACAGGTGTGAACAAGTCCCGAGGCAAATTGCAGAACCGCCACGTTCGTAGTACTAAAGGATTTGTCGTTTCAATATCTTTGCCACCTGATTAGTGATAGGTGGTGGACCATCTAACGGCTAGGCCACTGTGCCAACTACCTATGCCCCGTGTCCCGCACTCTGAAAATGTTTCTGCAAAAGCCCAACTGTTAACCATAGATACACTGTATCATGGTGGGTTGCTTCCCCTCTGCCTATTTTCAAAAAAAAATGGTGGGTTGCTTCCCCTGGTTTCCAATTATCAAACCGGCAATAAAGGAAATGCTTGCGGCCTTCTTTTTTTTTTTTTTCAATGCCAGAAATATCAATAAAAATTTGAAATTTTATTGTTTATTTTATGTAAATTACATATTTTATAATTATAAAAAATTATTTTATAATATAAATTGTTTTATACTAAAAATGACAACTTTTGAATAA